GTAAGCTTGAGCGTATGACAAAAACATTACAAGGTTTTGAGTTTGGGCTGAACGGCTATTGGTTGTGGTTTGTTGAGCCAAAGTCGCCAAGTTTTGTAGTTCGCAGAGTTGATGATTTTACCATCTTATTTGAAGAAAGGGAGTCAGTAGCTGCATATAAAGATGCAGGTGTTCGTGAGCAGATGGAGTTTGACAATTTAAGTTGTTTTGAATCACTTGTGACAAATGCGGTGATTAAATTGGTTGCCATTTAGAAATTCAGGCGTCGCTTAGATTTATTTGGTGTTGCAAATTGAAATTAACCCTATGGGGTTTTAAAGGAGATGGCGGGAGAGTTTCATTATTCGGGCTTAGCTTAGTTTTCGCCAAGGTAGAAATTGTTGGGCTTGTGGCTTAAATTAAGCCCATAAGCATTGTTTTGTTTTTGGTTTGGGCCAAGGCCCATATCCTTCCCTATCAGCAAGTCTTGCCGACATTTACCTAAGCATTTATATTGATATATGCGTGTGGTTTAGGAGTTGTAGCCGCAAGAGTGATTGTAGCCGCAAGAGTGATAGCAGCCGCATGGTATTCTCCCATTAATACATATTTTTTCTCTTTTATTTGGTGTAAGAATATTTGGTCATAAAATTATTCTTAGACAGTTAAAGTTTTTATTGTTAGGTTGAGAGATTTTTGAGTGTATTCAGGATTTAGGTAGTGAGTAATTTTTTAATAGGTTTTTGTAATCTCCTTTGATTATAGTAGAATTTCTTTGCTGTTTCTGTTCGTGGATGTAAACTAAAAACCGAATCATGTTAAATTTTTGTGTCTCTTGAATTTTTTTATTATTCATATTTTGTCTTGAATCTACTTAATTTGATGTTTTGACACAACAACAAAATTAGATATCCCATGTCCCATGATAGCATGCCTTTTGATAGGTTTATAATTTGTTTTTTGTTTTTTTTTTCTTTTTTGGATAATGATGCCTTTTGGTAGTTGATAGGCCACATAGGAGCGAGAGTGCTCCTACTCACCAGCAGGATTTCAGCTCATCTTTTAAATTTATGCTGCAAGAATCAGTTGCAATCATCCATAGCCTACACACACACACACACACAGACATATATATATATATATATATATATATAACTCAATATCATGATATTTACGATGCTTAAAAGTGTTAAATTTGATTACTCTGTGTTATTTATTACTATTATCTTTATCTTTATTAAGCATAGAATAGTCTTTAATTATTTACTAGTCTATATAACCTTATTTTCTGATGTATTATTTTCAATTAATAACTCTACCCTTCGTTTCTCTCAATTTTGTTCTTGGAATTCACATGGTCCGAGAGCTATGATCTTTATGGGTTTTGTTTGCTTTATACAGCCTCGTTTTCACCAAACTTCTTGTGCGGATATTCCCGTGTAGAATGATATGTGTGAAAAGATTCCAAAACAAATTACAGTTTTCTAATTAGCCAATAAGGGAAAAAGAAAAAGATGGAACATTGCCATTTTTTGTGATACTAAATGCTAATTAATGCCATTTTTTTTAAGAAGGGAGGTTGATCAATTGTGGAGTGCTAGGGTGGAAAAGAAAACGAATGCTAATAAGAGCATCTTCCATCCCTAAAAAAGGTTAAGAAAATTATTAATCAAGCATATATGCTGCATATTCGAGGAAGTTTAGGTAAAAAGTGTAAATGGCTTTATAACTTAAATTTTGAATGTTTTTGGGAAAAATAAATCCGAGTCCTATATCGTTATTAAATGGACAAAAGAAAAAAAAAATATATGAGGAAGAAAAAACTGAGAACAAAAAAGAATTATAAGTAAATAAACAAAGGCACGTATGCATTACAATTCCAGGTTTTTTTTTTTTTTTTTTTTTTTTTTTTTTTTTAAAAAAAGGCCGTGATTTTTAAAATCCGCTTTTTTTTTTTTTTTTTTTTTTTTTTTTTTTTTTTTTTTTTTTTGGAATTCCAGACCTTTTGTAATACAATATGTAATACGAAGTTGGCTAAAACAAAGTGTATATGGATGCGGTTTAAGAAGAAAACTTGGCAAGTTGAAGATGAAACAAATGAAAGGAAAAGAAATTAAATTGCAACGCGTTTTTTTTTTTTTTTAAATTAAAAAACTTGATACGTTTCTAAAAGCAACATAAGGGAAAAAATGGAAGTAGTGGTTACTATTTAAAACAAATAGCATTAAGGAGGTTTGTTTGAATTTAATTGGTGGAAATCAAAGAGAAAAGGCTAAGGGCCAGTTTGGGAGAGCTTTTCAAAAGCTGTTTTTAGCTTATTAGGTCTAAAAGTTACTTTTAAAATTGTTTAGATGATATGTCAGAAGTGTTTTGGAGTTTTAAAAAAGCTTCCAGTGAAAGTTAGAAAATGTGACTTCTAAAGAAAAACACTTTTAAATAGACTTTAAAACTTGTTTTGGAATTTAATTAAGGCATTAAAAACTTAATTCCAACACTTCTATTGTTTATTAAAAATTTTAAAAATCATTTTGACGACCCATTAAGCTCTTGGTTTCAAACAATGCTTACTGAAAAGCCACAACTTTTATTTCATTTCTTTTATTGGCTAAAAGTAAAAGTAAAAACCTTGCTAAACTGGTCTGAGAACCATAAATTATTAAACACAGAGCTTGTGAAGTAATTGCACAACAATAGAAGAGGAATACAATGAGCACATAAAATTTGAGAGCTAAGTTTGATGATACTTAGCAAGCTAAATATCTTATATGTTTATCAATGAATTTACATCACTGAATCCATATTTCACAACAAATTGTGCAATAACATTATTTTATGAATATTAGTGATTAAATATGCCATCATGTGACATACGAGAATGAAGACTTTTCTACTAACGCATGCCCTTAACTATTAAATTTCCAAAGCTTATGTTGTTGATTATGACTTATCCGATGGAGAAATTTTGTAATAACAAATCAACAATTTCTAACCACTATATGTTCTTTTTCATGAGTAGTCATACAGGAAACAGAAAAAGGATAAGGGAATAAAAGTCACAATCTTTTTAGTGAGGTAAATAATGTGTCTTTAGTGTTTAACATAATTCTATTACGAAAGTCATTAGCGTAACTTATTCCTTGGGTTAGAAATTTTATTATTCGTTTGCCCCATTTTTAAGTTTCAGTAATCTAAGGGTCAAAGATTCAACTGATTAGGAAACCAACATTAATGAGAAAACTCATGATCTTGATCGTTCAGTTCGGTCCCATGTTGTTTACTTGACAAACTCGATTGGTTGTTTTCGTTTCATGTAGACTTGTTAGTGTAGAAAATCTAGAATAATAGTACAAAAAACAGTACCAAAAAAGTGAAATGAGGGAATCTCTTTGCATCCCACATTAATTTTTTTTCTTTTCAATTGAGAAAATAATTTTGTGAATGTTATTTTATCTTCTAGATTGAAATTCCACAACTAATTAATGCTACTTTTTTAATAATTTTAAGATACGAAATGATCCAAAAAAGAAAAAAGACGCTTAGCAGTAACCCCTTTGGAATATTGGTTTCACTATAAACAAAGAAGAAGAAAAGAAAAAAACAAAAAAGCAAGCTAGCAGGTCAAGTTCAACCATTATTCTAAAGCACAGGATAAGGTTAACTGGTATTGATGGGGAAACATTAGAAAATTCATGTATTGTATCTTTCGTCCACAGAAAAAGTCGGAAAGACTTATCAACAATATTCGTTCCTCGTAATTAATATTATATTTGTCGTTATTACCTCATAAAACAAATAATAATAATAATAATAATAATAATAAAATACATATGCACGACGGTACTATCTCTGCTTCATATTCTTTTTCCCTTTTCCTTTTAACCAAACAAAAGACCATTTTGAGCCCCAAATTTGACCTCCATTATCGTTCTCACATCTATCCCAATTCATATATATATATATATATATATTTTTTTTTTTTTTTTCAATCTATACATACCTTAATCATCCCTTTAATCAATAGCGAATTAAGAGGACATTCTTGATATTCTCAATACATGTGATAAAGCATAGTACTTTGCAAATTTGTTTCTAACGGATAGTTTTATCCAACGGCTCTCTTTGTGATTTGGTATTGATCATTTGAGATCTTATTACTAACTATTGTAATTTATAAATTCATTAAAGAGTGAGAAAAAAATTCATCCTCAACCTCGGGTACACCAAAGAAAAAAGGGACAAGTGACAGAAAAAAAAGGAAAATAACAAAAAAACTGCATGAAGGATAAAATTATAAAATACTCAATATTTAATGTCCATAGTTTCTAAACTAATTATTCTCTCTCGCTATTTTTGTAAGGTTGGTATTAATGGGGAAATATCATAAAACTCATATATGGTCCTTTTATGCTATTGGGGTATTTTTTTCCAACGCCGTAGCGGGAGATATAATAATTTGTCAAAGTTTACGTTAGAATTTATAAACTCGAACGATAATTTGTAAAATTTTAAATTTTACGATAAATCATTCGAGTTTGTAAGTTCTAACGTAAATTATCATAAAATTCAAATTTTACAAATTATCGTAACTTTTACAACTTTATCGTTCGAGTTTGCAAGTTTTAACGTAAAATTTTACAAATTATATCGTATATCTCGATACGGTGCCGGGAATATTCTCTCAGGCAGCATAAAACAATCCTTCATATATATGTTGGTCTCTTTCATTTTCGTTCGTTCAAGTTGAAATTTTAAGTTAAAAAATAAATTTATGTGAGAGAAAAACTGTAAGAAAAAAAAGTTAGGTATCTTTCGAGAAAGAGTCAAAAGACTTGGATCAGCAATATTAGGTTCTTGCCTCCTTGGTAATATTATATTTGTCGTTATCCCCTGAGAAAAAAAAAACAAACTGAAAGTAATATTATTATTCAATATATATACATATATATATATATATATATATATATATGACGGTGTAGTCTCTGCTTCATATTTTCTTCATTAGCCAAAACTAAAAACAAAAGGCTATTTTGAGCCAAAAACATTATCGTTTTCTCACATCTATAAATCCGAATTCATATATATTTCTCTGCTTTTCAATCTATACATACTTATGGAAGACCCTTATTGTCCAAGGCCAATACACGCCATAGTGATGCCCGTCCCTCTCCAAGGGCACGTCATCCCAGCCGTAAACCTGGCACTCAAGCTTGCATCAAACGGCTTCACCATCACCTTCATCAACAACGAGATTATTCGCCACAAAATCACCACCTCACACCCTCCGGCCAACTTCGATGGATCAGAAAACGACATCTTTTGTGGCGCACGAGAATGCGGTCTCGACATACGACACCGGACGGTCGGCGACGGTTTCCCGTTGTCGTTTGACAGGTTGGCGAACGATGAGCGGTACTTAGAGGAGGGTCAGTTGCATGCTGTGCCGGTGCTTATGGATGAGCTTGTTGGGGATATAGTGAAAGAGGCTCGTGATCCTCCTGTGTCTTGTTTGATAGCCGACGGTTTCTTCACATGGCCTTCCATGATAGCTGAGAAGTACGACCTTGTTTTTGTGTCGTTTTGGACTGAGCCAGCTCTGGTCTTCACTTTGTACTATCACTTGGACCTCCTCAAAACCAACGGTCATTATGCATCTCATGGTACGTGTCTTCTATCTCTCTCTCTCTCTCTCTCTTATTTGGTTCTGGAATAAACGATGATCATATAATATAGCGCGGCTCTGCAAACTAATATACGGCCTCTTTGAATCGATATAACTTATTAAAAATCTTAATCTTAGGTTTAATATTGACTAAAATATGAATAATACATTAGAAAAATTCTTACGGGTTACCAACACAAATAGAATATAACTCCGTAGGTGGGACTCACTTTCTATTAGTAGATGGTTTAATAGTATTATTTTTAATATTAGGGACGCACTAATAATATGAACCCTGATTAAAGCAATATTTTTTTATGTTGATATTGTGCAATATTTTTTTTATGTTGATATTGTATATATGGTTCGTAATTTGAAGATAATCGTGAGGATACTATTGACTACATACCGGGTGTGAAGGCAATTGAGCCAAAGGATTTACCGTCGTACCTCCAAGAAACTGATGTCTCCACCGTAATGCACCGACTGATAGACGTGGCATTCAAGGATGTGAAAAGGGCCGATTTCGTTCTTTGTAACACAGTTGAAGAGCTTGAATCTAAGCCCATTTCGGCCTTACAAGAGAAGCAACCATTTTATGCAATTGGGCCACTTTTCCCGTCTGGGTTAACCAAGGGCGTCGTGCCCACCAGCTTGAGGCCCGAGTCCAACTGCACCCAATGGCTCAACACCAAGCCTCATGGCTCAGTCTTGTACGTTTCATTTGGTAGTTTTCTGACTTCTAGAAAGAGTGACATTGACGAAATAGCCCTTGGACTTGCCCTTAGTAAAGTGAATTTCATATGGGTTCTTCGTCATGATGTTGTGAGTTATGAAGAGCCTTATGTCCTGCCAATTGAATTTGAAGAAGTCAAAGATAGGGGTTTGACCGTGACGTGGACCAATCAGGCCGAGGTAATCTCACACCCGTCAATAGGAGGATTCTTAACACATTGCGGATGGAATTCTACATTGGAAAGTATTTGGTGTGGTGTTCCAATGTTGTGTTTTCCTTTAACGACTGATCAGATCACTAATAAGAAATTAATAGTCGATGATTGGAAGATCGGGCTCAACCTTAGTGATGGGAAACCATTGACTAGGTTTGACGTTGCGGCGAAGATCAATCGTTTGATGAGTGGAAAATCAAGTGCCGAATTGAAGACGGAGACAATGAAGGTGAGGCAGATTTTGAGGAATGCATTGGCCAGTAATGGATCTTCCGAAAAAAATTTGTGTCAGTTCATTGCCAATGTGAAGGCAAAAATCAGTAAATGAATTCAACAAAATAATGGCAAGGAAAAAAGTATATCTTTGTTTCCTTCATTGGCTTTACAATGATTAAAATTTTGAATCTATTTGTTTCATATATGGTATGTGCACAATATTATAAATAATAAGAAATAGGTTAATATGAAAAGCTTAAGAAAGTATATAGGCCAACTTTTAGTTATAGAAATTAATAGGCCATAACTTGTCAAGTTATGATTCATAACCATATAAGTTATGGACAAACTTGTCGAATTATGGTTTATAGCCAGACAAGTTATGGACAAAAACCGGGAATAACTTGTCAAGTTATGGTTCATAACCAGACAAGTTATGGACGAAAACAGTAATTTGGCATATTTATTAACTTATGTAAACTATTGGAGTATTAATTTTAATTCATCTCAAGACTTGGCATATTCCCCTCTTTCTCCCTATTATAATTTATTGCAACTATTACTCAGGTGGTTTTTTTTTGTTTTTTTCTTCAAAACTGGGTGAGGGCATTCAAAATATACTTTATATGGAATTACCTTGGTTTTTTTTTGTTTTTTTCTTCAAAACTGGGTGAGGGCATTCAAAATCTACTTTATGGAATTACTGCTATATGTACTTTATATTCTGGAACCTAAAGCTGAGACAATTACCATCTTTAATAATAATTACTGATCACTACTGTTTCAAAGGTGACATAATATCGTATCACAAGTGTTAATCTACTAAATTATACTTTAGTGATAAATGGTTACCCGTGATGACCGGTGATACGTGTCGTAAATGCAAAATAATATGTTAAATTACAGGTTTTATTTCGTCATATTACACTTCGAAGACTATTATTAATTTTCATCGGTGACTCTGTTTTAAATTTTCAAGCCGTTTCCAAACTTTGTAGGTAAATTACCTTGACTGGCAGAAACAATTTCAGAAAAAAATATTTTTAATATTTTTGCTTGATTTATTATTATTATTATTATTGCACTAGCCTCTAAGGGTAGCATAGTTGTTTACTTATTTACTAGTTTATATAAACCTTATTTTTCGACGTATTGTTTTCAAGTAATTCAATTAAAAAACTCTATCCTCCGTTTCTCTCAATTTTGTTTTTAGAAGTTAGAACTCACATGATATGAGAGCTATGATCTTTATGAGTTCTGTTCGCTTTAAAAGAAACTATTCATCAAACTTCTTATATAGATACATAGAACCGTGATGTGAAAATATTCCAAAATAACGCGAGAAGGAGAAGATATAAATACACTTTCACGATCTTAAAGTTTGAACATAGCAAAAACTAAGGTTATATCTCTAAATTAGCCAAAAAGGGGAAAAGAAAAAGATAAAACATTGCCAATTGTAGTTTGATTTTATAAAACGTCATCTTTTTGAGATATTTTTTTTTTTCCTTTTGAATTTTGTGATGCTAGTTAGCTACGTTACAATATTTGGCCAATAGAAGATGGACCCTACCTGTAGGTTCTATACTGCAAGACTTATATTCTATTAGTAGGTGGAGCACCACTTTAGACCATCTCCAATGTAAATATTAATGTCAATTGTATATTTAATATTACAAAAAATGATATGATATGTTATTTTTATTTTTACTCCAATGCATAGTGCTATTTGAAAAATACTAAATCCACTTTTTTTTTTTTATAATTATTAAGCTTTGAAAATTGTAAAAGTATACATTTCTTTTTAAAAGAATTAGAAAATACAAAAGTTGTAATGATTACATGAAAAAAAAATATTTTAACCAATAACAATTAAATGCTAAATTTTTCATATGCTAAATTTGGTGAGAAATTTGTCACAGACTGTAGCATATGATAAATTTATCACAACAAATAACATTGTATTAGTGTTTTATACTTAGCACATCAATTATAAAATTGTATTGTCGATGCTCTTATAGTATTGTAATAAACGATTTAACATGTAACAAAGAGATGAGTATTTGTAGAATTATAAAACCAACTCAACATATGGTCTTATAGTATTGTGCTAAACGATTTAACTTGTAAGAAAGAGATGAGAAAGAGATGAGTATATGTAGAAGTATAAAACCAACTCAGCATATAACAAATTTATCACAATAAAGAAAGTATTTTTATGTTGAATTTATAATTGGCATATAAGTTATTGCATTAGAGATGCTTTAAAATTACGCCATAATCAATACATTGTCGTTTTATCGTAATGTTCGTTATCTTCTTTTTCTCGTGGAGAAAACTTTTGTATTTTTGAAAGTAGAATAATTGCATTCTGTTTGGATAAATGGAGCAAGTCCCAAATTTTCTTTTGGGCAAGTCATTGTCGTATTATAAATAAATTCGTCATCCACCCTAGTTGACTGTTGAACCAAAAGAAACGCTGTTTTTATTTTTTTATTTTTATTTTTTTAAATAAAAGAGCTGTTCTCTTGTTATTTATTAGTTCAGCTTTATCAGGATTCCTACAATGAGTATGGTGGATTACCACCAGATTACTTCAACGGCAAGCACTGGCCGACAGGTAATCAATCTAAATTAATGAATGGTGATAACTAATGGTTCCGATCACATCTTGTAAATTATCCGTGATTGTGTAAAATCGCATTGTTGAACTCCAAACAATTCGCTTTTTACATAATAAATCCCGACTTTCAACTTTAATAAATTGCACTCTATGAGTAGTAATTTTTCAATAATTAAAGAATGTTATCAAGTTGATTGTTTAAAGCACGACATTTGCACATGAAATTAAGGCAAATACCATTATTTTTTATTCTCATAGGGTTAAAATCTCACTATTCACATAAGATAAATCTCGCTAAATAAATAAATGAGACTCAACGCAGTGAGATCGACTCACCATTTTATGAGTATATGAGGTTTATACTCATTAGGAAAAATGTCATTTTTCTTTGTGCGTTGGTAGTACTCTAACTTCAGTATACTCTAACTTCAGTATATCTAACCATTATAATTAATTAATTAAAGGGCGTTCATATTAGAAAATTCATGTTCGGTGTCTTTCGTCCTTATAGAAAGAGACTTTGGAAATATTAAAGATGTCGTATACGGTATCTTTCGTCCCCATAAAAAACGTCATAGGTAATATTTGTCGTTATCTACACACGATAACACTAACTCTACGTCATAGTACGACCTTGTTTTTGTGTCGTTTTGGACTGAGCCAGCTCTAGTCTTCACTTTGTACTATCACTTGGACCTCCTCAAATCAAATGGTCATTTTGCATTGCATGGTGCGTCTCTTTATCTCTTTAAGCCAAAAGTTTCTCCTTTTTTTTTTTGAGAAAAAAAAAAACTTATACGGGTTAAGAGGAAAAGATAGAGTGGCTCTACAAAATGATATGTGGGTCTCTCAATTTTTTAATAATAATTGAATAAAATATGAATAATATTGAGGTTGTTCAACATCACGTATACAAATAGAAAGAGGGTCATACTAGCTAAACTATTTTTGAGGAATAATTTTGACTAAAATATGGATAATATTAAGGTACCGGTGGTGTTCAACGCCACATACTAATAGAAAGTGTATTTTACAGTTATAAAGTGCTCACTTTCTAGTGTCTTGAGCATTTTTTCTAAAATATTGACTCTCATTTTAAGACACAAATAAAACATGAGAAGATAAGAATACTTTCTTCTATCCCGACAATATTACTGCATATCAAAGGTTTGCTCAAGATTAACATATGAGGATGACACTAAAAAATAACAATGCTCTTCTTGGAAAGTTTGTTTAGTGTTGATTCGCATGATTCTTATTTTCTAGATAATCGTCACGACATAATTGATTACATACCAGGTGTGAAGGCAATTGAGTCAAAAGATTTACCGTCGTACCTTCAAGAAACTGATGTCTCCACCATAATGCATAGACTAATAGATGAGGCATTCAAGGATGTAGAAAAGGCTGATTTCATTCTTTGCAACACAATTGAAGAGCTTGAATTGGAGGCCATCTTGGCCTTACAAGAGAAGCAACCGTTTTATGCAATTGGGCCACTTCCATCTGGGTTCACCAAGGGCATTGTGCCCACCAGCTTAAGGCCGGAGTCCAATTGCACCCAATGGCTCAACACCAAAGGCCCATTTAGTTCGCTGATTTGAGTTTTTAATTCGAGTTTAGATGTGATTTTATGTGAGAACTTTTTATTGTAGCAAAAAAGTTATATGTGACTGTTTCTGAGAGCTTTTTACTGTAGCAAAACTCTAATTCTAAACTCTAATCGGTGAAATGAATGGGACCCAAGCCTTGTGGTTCAGTCTTGTGTGTTTCATTTGGTAGTTTTCTGACTTCTAGAAAGAGGGACATTGACGAAATAGCCCATGGACTTGCCCTTAGTAAAGTGAATTTCATATGGGTTCTTCGTCATGATGCTGTGAGTTATGAAGAATCTTATGTCCTACCAATTGGATTTGAAGAAGAAGTCGAGGACAGGGGCTTAGTTGTAAAGTGGACCAATCAGTTTGAGGTAATCTCACACTCATCAATAGGAGGATTCTTAACACATTATGGTGAGGCAGAATTTGAAGAGTGCCTTATGTCACGGACCTATTCTTCTTACAAGGTAACCGTGCGGCGTTAGCACTCTCAAGCTATGCTAACAAGCCTAACTTCACGCAAACGCAAGGCCAATGAAGTGAAAGTAGAGAAATTAGAGTAGGAACACACGAGAAAGGGAGAAAGTGAAAAGAGCTTCACTAAGTATGGTAAACCTTTATAATACTTTACACTCCAATATTTTTGGTTCTCCCACTCCCAAGCTATGCTAACAAGCCTAACTTCACGCAAACGCAAGGCCAATGAAGTGAAAGTAGAGAAATGAGAGTAGGAACACACGATAAAGGGAGAAAGTGAAAAGAGCTTCACTAAGTATGGTAAACCTTTACAATACTTTACACTCCAATATTTTTGGTTCTCCCCCCCACAAATGAAGGGACTACCCCTATTTATAGGCCAAGGGGACCCTCCCATGAACATTCTAGAATGTTATGGAATTCCTCCCATCCTAGAACTTTCTAGAGAATGCTTACAAAGTATGGGCATTCTATAAGTTTCTAGAGTCTTCTACAATGGACTCCTCTGTGGAACCATTCACAAGGTTCTAGAGAACTCTAAGGTTCTCCCTAAGACTAGACTCCTCTGGAATGTTCTAGAACAATCCATATGTAGATAATTGTAGAGTGTTCTAGATAATTTCATAGTCTATACTTCTCTAGGATTATCTAGAATATTCCATATGGTAGACAATTGTAGAACATTCTAGAGAATCCTAGGGTCTTCTTGCAAACCTCTAACACTTAAAATGGGGCAAGAATTTACGGATTGTGACATTCTCCCCCACCTAAGCTCGCGATGCCCTCATCGCGTCTTCTTCGTGGAATTGCCGAATATGGTCTTGAAATTGCCAAATGGCATCCTCATATTCCCAACTTGCTTCACTCTCTGACAAGTTCTTCCATTTGATTAAGTATTCTCGATAGCTTGGCATACCTCACCTTCGAATGCGACGATATGCAAGTATACTCTCGACTTCCTTGTCGAAAGATGTCACGACGGCGGTTGGTGCTCGTTTGGACTTCCCTCGACTGGGGTCTTCCATGTCTTCGTGATATGGCTTCAGGAGACTAATATGAAAGACTGGATGGATCTTGAGTTTGGAAGGCAATTGGAGTTTATAAGAGACATTCCCAACAGGTTTCAGAACTGGAAAGGGACCTTCATACCTTCTAATCAGGCCCTTGCGAACTCTTCTGAAGGTTTTGAATTGTTGGGGAATGAGCTTTACCATGACAAGATCGCCTTCTTTGAATTCTAAGTGCCTTCGCTTCTTGTTTGCCCATTTCTTCATTCTCCTGACGCCTTTCTTGAACTGTAAGGCTGAAAGCACCTTTGTTCCTTGCTTGGTGGCCCTGGCCGTCAGTATCACGCAAGCCTTGTCGCCATCCATGATGCACATACTGTTGGCAAATGGCATTGGGATTGCCTTGACTTGATCAAGGAACTCTAATCCCAAGATAAGCCTAAAGTCGTCCATTGGAACCACCGAGAAATCCATATGGCCAGACCATGTGCCAACGCTGGTCTTGATCCCTCGGGCTATGCCATGAATGGGCCGTGCTGCTGAGTTAACCGCCTTGATGGATCCTCATCCACCTGTTGCCTTGAGACCTAGCCGGCTTGCTTCATTAATGTAAACAAAGTTGTGAGACGCACCTGTGTCGAGCATGGCTTTTGTTGCCTTCCCATTGATGGTCACGTCCACATAGAGCAACCCCTTGGCTTCGGTCTTTGGGGCGGACTGGATAACGTTAAGCAGTTGCATGGACCCAATGTGTGCACTCTCGTCACCTCTAGCGGTGCCTTTCTCCTCTTGATGTTTTGCTAGGAGCAAGTTAAGGGCTTGTCGTTGTGGGCAGTCTCGCATCCAATGGTCTTCATCACAGATGAAACATTTGTTGGGCGGCTGCCTTCCTGAGCCACGGTATTCCCTCTGTTTACCTTTATCCTTGGCTTTCCATGAGGGTGAGTCCTTGTTCTTGGACGTGTTGGGCTCTTGGTTGCCCTTCTTGTGTTGGCCTCTGTCTCCCTCACCTTTGGTTTGACCCCCGTTCTTTTCCTTTGGCTTGTTGGTGGACTCTTTTTGGCTATTGTAGTCGATAAGGCTCTCGGCTACGGCTATGGCAGTGGCAAGGTCTTGTACCCTACGACGCCTTAGCTCTGTCTTGGCCCATGGTTGAAGTCCATCTATGAAATTGAAGAGTGAGTCCTTGTCGGACAGATCGGGGATCTCAAGCACTAGGTTGGTGAAGTCCTTGATGTAGTTGCGAATGCTCCCCGACTGTGTCAGCCTTCGCAAGTGGGCTCTTGCCTCGGCCTCGGCCTTCTCCTTTCGGCATTCTCAGGGTAGAATTGTTGTTTGAGCTCCTTTTTAAAGTCATCAAAAGTAGAGATGGTGCACATACCTCTCTCGATGTCTCCACGCCTTCTCCTCCACCATAGCATGGCGGTGTCGGTGAGATACAGAGCTGCGGTTTGGATCTTGGAGGTTTCCTCCATGATGCCGACAACTCCTAAGTACTGTTCTAGCCCCCACAAGAAGTTGTCCACTTCCTTCGCGTTGCGTGATCCTAAGAAGGTTTTTGGCTTCGGCACCTCGACTTTCCTAGCCTCAACCACAGTGCTTGGCCCAGCTGCCAAGGCGTGTTTGCAAAGTGCAACGTCACCCTGTAATGCCTCAAGCTGGGCTAAAGTGCTATTGATCTCTTACCGGAGTACATCACGCACCTTGGAAAGCTCCCCCATGAGCTGGTCGCGCATCTCCCCCATCTCTGCTCGCATGGTCTCCTCTAGCTAGACCATTACAGCCTTCACTGCAGTGTGGATCTCGGCATCCTCCGCCTCAAGGCCTTCTACCAGCTGGTAAAGGTCGTCCACCTGGGCACCTACGCCAGCCACGCCTTCCTCCACGTGGGTCATGCGTGACTCTAAGCTAGAAATGAGATCCTTGGACCTACCCCGTGGTCTTGCGGCAGTAGGGTCGACCGTCTCCTCGTGACCTCGTTGTTCCTGCGTGACCTCCACATGAGCCAATAGTTTGATTCTTGGCATTCTTCCCCATGTCCAGGTTGTGGCTCTGATACCAATTGTTACAGACCTATTCTTCTTACGAGGTAACCGTGCGGCGTTAGCACTCCCGAGCTATGCTAACAAGCCTAACTTCATGCAAACGCAAGGCCAATGAAGTGAAAGTAGAGAAATGAGAGTAGGAACACACGAGAAAGGGAGAAAGTGAAAAGAGCTTCACTAAGTATGGTAAACCTTTACAATACTTTACACTCCAATATTTTTGGTTCTCCCCCCCACAAATGAAGGGACTACCCTTATTTATAGGCCAAGGGGACCTTCCTATGAACATTCTAGAATGTTATGAAATTCTTCCCATCCTAGAACTTTCTAGAGAATGCTTACAAAGTGTGGGCATTCTATAAGTTTTTAGAGTCTTCTACAATGGACTCCTCTGCGGAACCATTCACAAGGTTCTAGAGAACTCTAAGGTTCTCCCTAAGACTAGACTCATCTGGAATGTTCTAGAACAATCCATATGTAGATAATTGTAGAGTGTTCTAGAGAATTTCATATTCTATACTTCTCTAGGATTATCTAGAATATTCCATATAGTAGACAATTGTAGAACATTCTAGAGAATCCTAAGGTCTTCTTGCAAACCTCTAACACTTAAAATGGGGTAAGAATTTGCGGATTGTGACACTTAGCTAGCAATGGATCTTCCGAAAAGAATTTGTCTCAGTTCATTGCTAATGTGAAGGCAAAAATCAGTAAATGAATTCGACAAAATAATGACAAGCAAAAAAAAAAAAGTACATCTTTGTTTTGTTTAGTATTTTTGTTTCGAAAGGCTTTACAATGATTAAAACTTTAGAATGTATTTGTGTCATATATGGTATATACCCAATATTATAATTTATTGCAACTAGTCTAAGGTGTATTTGTTTTTTTTTTTTTTTTTTTTTTTTTTTTTTTTTTTTTTTTTTCAAAACTGGGTGAGGGCATTCAAAATCTATGCATGTTTGGATTGAGGGTTCAAACCACTCTAGTTTTGGTTTAAACTATATTTTTCCCTCATAAAAAATTTAAATTTAAGGTTTTGCTATAGTGCTATTTTTAACAAAATTTAAGGCATCGTTCATTTCACCGATTCGAATTTTCAGTTTTAGGTTTCTACAGTAAAAATCTTTCAGAAAATGTCACATCTATATTTTTCTGCTACAGTGAAAAACTCTCAGAAAATGTCACATCTCAACTCAAATTAAAAACTCGAATCCGCAAAATGAACGAGACTATATGTTTCAAACCACCTGAAGTAGAACCCTCAAAATAAACCAGTACTAAATTTCACTGTTAGCTAGGGGGAGGGATATGGAATTACAGCTATGTGTACTTTATATTCTTGCACCTATAGCTAAGACAATATTTACCATCTTCAATAATGATATTTACTAATCACTAGTGTTGAAAAGGTGATATAATATCGTATCATAAGTGTTAATCTATTAGATCATAATTAGTGATTGATTATTGGTGACGACCAGTGATACGTGTTGCAAAAGCAAAATATTAATGCAACACAGAATATTATGTTAAATTATCGGTTTTATTCCATCCGATTACACTTCGAGGACTAATACTAATTATCATCGATGACTATGTTTTAAATTTTCCGGTTGCAAATTTTTAGTTACAATATTTTGTGCGATAACAAAAAATTATCCCAACCTCGGGTACACCAAAGGAAAGAAGGGGATAATCGACCAAAAAAAAAAAAAAACTGCAGGATATATAAAGTTATAAAATACTCAATATTTATTAATATCTATAGTTTCTCAGCTTATTGTCCCTCGCGATTTCTTATAAAGGTTGATATTGGTAGGAAATAATAGAGATTCATATATATGGTATCTTTCGTCCACAGAAAGAGTCAGAAATACTTGGATCAGTAATATTAGTTCCTTGGTAATATTATATTTGTAGTTACCTATCTACTGTAAAAGGGAAAAAAAAAATTGAACTTAGTAATAGTTGTTGTTCACACACACACGCACACACACACCACATATATATATATATATATATATATATATATGTATGTATATAAAAGTCACAAGTACTATCTCTACCTCCTATTCTTTTATTTTGAGGCCCAAATTGATCGTCCATTAGTTTCTCAAAAAAATTGATCGTCCATTAGTTTCTCAAAAAAATTGATCGTCCAATATCTTTCCCACATTTCTATCCCAATTCACATTTCTTTGCTCTTGTTTTGAGATATAGGCCTCGTTCACTTTACAGATTCGAGTTTTTAATTTGAGTTGAGATGTGACATTTTTTGAGAACTTTACACTGTAACAGAAAAAGTTACATATAACATTTTCTAAAAACTTTTTACTGTAAAAACTTAAAACTGAAAACTCGAATCGGTAAAATGAACGAGGCCATAAATTTCCTATCAAATATGAGAAGATGGGAATACTCTCTCCCATCCCCAGAATACTACAACATTCAGACTTTTGCTCGTGAGGATGACCACCAATAAATAACAATGCTCTTCTTGGAAGGATTTTTTATTTTCTATTTTTTTAGGTGTTGATTCTATATATGATTCTTATTTACTAGATAATCGCAAAGACACTATTGGTTACATACCAGGTGTGAAGACAATTGAGCCAGGGGACTTAACTTCGTACCTTCAAGAAACTGATGTCTCCACCGTAGTGCACGGACTAATATTTGAGGGGTTTAAGGATGTTAAAAGAGCTGATTTCATTCTTTATAACACAGTTGAAGATAGGGGTGTAAATTGGCCGGGTTCGGCCAAGGTACCCCGCAGGTTTGGGCCGAACCGAGATTGTTGGGCTTAAAGAAAATTGAGCCGTGATACCCCGTAGAGCCTCAAAAGTCGAGATGCAACAACAATTAGGGTTCAGCTCAGCTCGGCTCGGGTAGTTGGCTTGCTTGTCATATGTGCTAGGCTGTGTCAACTCCAACATGAAAAGAGAACAAAGCGGCTAACTTCTGCAAATCAATATAAACAAGACAATTTATAAGAGTCTTCAAACTTTTGACTTTTGAGGAAGAGAGACACAAGATAAATGAATGGAGTTTTGAGAGGAGGATAACGGGTCTGCTCATGTAAGGAGAAAAATTGATTGAGAAATAAGAGAGAGAATAATAGGGATTTTGATCTTTTGGGGAAGGAGATGGGAGACAAAAGGGGTGGCGGCGGCAATGGTAGAGTATATTCATAGGGCTTACAACTTTTCTATTAATTAATGCTTTTTATTTTTTATTTTCAAAAACAACTTTTCTATTGATTAATGCTTTTTGTTTTTTTTTCCTTTTGAAAATGTCCACTGCACATTAAATGTTATAATATTCATTTATACACGCTAGAAAATTGAAAAAGTTAAAGATATAATATTCATTTATATACGCATAGAAAACTGAAAAAGTTGAAAGCATTTTGCATTTACTTTTACCGGATTCGGGGATATCGGGTAATGTAATCACACCACCGCAAGCCGAGCCGAGAAACTCAGCTTTTATTAATTTGAACCCGATTTAATTTTTATTGTCAAAAAACTCACGAAATTCGGATGAATTCGGATTGGGTCGGCCGGGTTTCTCGGGTTGTCGGGGATTATGTACACCCCTAGTTGAAGAGCTTGAATCTGAGTCCATCTTGGCGTTACAAGAGAAGCACCCATTTTACGCAATTGGGCCACTTTTTCCATCTGGGTTCACCAAGAGCATTGTGCAAACTAGCTTGAGGCCCGAGTCCAACTGCACCCAATGGCTCGACACCAAGCCTTATAGTCTTGTATGTTTCATTTAGGGGTGTAAATCGGCCGGGTAGGGTAGGGTTGAGCTGAAAAATTGAGCCTACCCGACCAGTGCGGGTTGAGAAAATTTTAGGCCGTGACACTCTCTTAAGTCTACAAACCCGCAACCTTTCGGGTGACATCGGGTAGGGTCGGGTTACTCGGGTTGGTGAAAACCAATTTTAATCTATGACTTCATCAATTTTAATTAATTTTTAGTCAATTAATCTGTGCTTGTTATAGAAGAAATCATTATCAAACAGAACATGTCTTTCCTTCAAGAGGGGTCTAAATGCAAGGTGAACAATTAAAACACTCACTTTGAAGTCAAACACTTCCAATATAAATAAAGAATGTCCTAATTCAACAACTATGGCATACAAGCATTTTTTACACAAACCGTGAATCCAAAACATAAATAAATTAACACTTTAAAAGCATAAAGTCCATAAACTTATGAAAGTAAGAATTTGAAGTGTTGGACATTGTTTTACCTACTTTGAACATGTTCGGCCGGGTAGGGTTACCTCGGGTTCATGTAACTCCACCCCGCGCCCCTACCCGCGCAGTGCGGGTTAGGCATAATTAAAACTGAAAATTAAATAAAAAATTAGAAACCCGTGATTTTTGAGTTGGGTCGGTTCGGCTCGGCCGGGTTCGTCGGGTTCGGGGTGATTTCTTACAGCTCTAGTTTCATTTGGTAGTTTTATGACATCTAGAAAGAGTAACATTGACGAAATAGCCCTTGGACTTGCCCTTAGCAAAGTGAATTTCATATGGGTTCTTGGTCACGATGCTGTGAATTATGAAGAGCCTTATGTCCTAGCAATTGGATTTGAAGAAGAAGTCAAGGATAAGGGTTTGATAGTGACGTGGACCAATCAGATTGAAGTAATCTCACATCCATCTATTGGTGGGTTCTTAACACATTGTGGATGGAATTCAATATCACAAAGTATTTGGTGTGGTGTTCCTATATTGTGTTTTCCTCTAACGACTAATCAAATCACTAAAAAAATTGCTAGTTGATGATTAGAAAATCAAGTGAAGAATTGAGGATAGAGATAATAATAGTGAGATATTGATATTCTAAATCTAAATCTAAATCTCAATTTTGCTGGCGGGGTGTGGAATTACCGCTGCAATACTCTAGTGTTTTTTTTTTATTTTTTTATTTTTTATTTTTTATATATTTTTTTGAACGATGCAATACTATAGTTCTTGCAACCACAAGTAATACTAAAGTTGGATAGCTGAGACAATTACTATCCTGAGAAAGAGATAATTATAAGTACGCATTCTTACTTGTTACCAAATAAAAAAAACTCAGGTGATGATTTTGGAAACAATAATTTTAAACTCTCTTTTCCCTTCTTTTCTTTTTGCGGTTATAGTAATAAGATCTCACTATAAATGTCTTGATCTTATTAGAATATAACGCTAATTAAAGAGGCCGGCTTATATATCTTAACTCTATAAGAACTTAATATTTATGTCTTGATCTTGCTAAACAGATGCCTACTATAAGCTGGCCTATTCTTTATTTATTTCTTTTTCTAGTTACACCACTAGCAAGCATTATCTTATAACTTGGAAACCCAAATTTCGTCTCACTTAGCTTAGTCAATGTCCAAGTTCAGTTTTCCAATAGATACGGCCATGAAAGATAATCATCCAAGGCCACATGCTATAATGTTTTCTCTCGATTACCAAGGCCACGTCACCCCATCTATCCATCTTGCCATGAAACTAGCCTCAAAAGGCTTCACAATCACCTTTGTCAACACACAAATAGTCCATCACCAATTAACCAAATCACAACCCGATTGCACCAACACCGATGATGTTAGTTTACCAATCAATCCCAAAAGCTTAAGCTATTAGGAGGTGGACCAACAATAGTTTAATATTTTAACACTCTCCCTCACGTGTGGGCTGAACAATGAGTAATCGTGTGGGTAAATTAATTGGAAAGCCCAACACGTGAATATTTAAACTCAAGATATATTAAAGACCCAACAAGTGAAGACAATTTAAATGGGGATAAAGAGTGCAATTACGGGAGTTTGAACTCATAACCTCTCGCTCTGATACCATGTTAGTTTACCAATTCATCCTAAAAGCTTAAGAAGTTAGGAGGTGGGCCAACAATAGTTTAATACTTTAACAGATGACTATGACATCTTCGCCGGAGCTCGTGAGCTTGGCCTCGACGTTCGCTACAAGACAATGAGTGACGGTTTCCCATTAGATTATAACAGAATGCTGAATCATGAAGAGTTTTTTGAGAATACTTTATTTTCCTTTCCATTCCATGTGGATGAACTAGTAGGAAATCTAGTGAAAGAAGATTCCTCTATTTCTTGTTTGATTGCCGATACTTTTCAACCATGGACGTCGCAGATAGCCAAGAAATATAATCTTATTAGTGTTTCCTTTTGGACTCAGCCGGCAATAGTCTTCACTCTTGGCTACCACTTGGACCTCCTCAAAATGAATGGTCATTATTTATCTCTCAATGGTATGTTTTTATGCTTCTAACTCGTATTTATTCATTTATTTCTTTCATTTTCATATGGTAGAGGATTTGTTAGGGTGTGGAGTTTAATTATTAAAAAGTTGCAATAGCGTAGAAACAAGGCGTGAATCGACTTAAAACCAAAAAAATGCGACAAAATATAGGTCTTTGGTGGCTTTTTACTTGGAAGTCAATGAGTGGGGGAAAATATAGAAAGTAATTGCGATCTCAAGTATTATTCGTCCTGCAATGCATACCAATTTAAATGGCGACAAATGCCTTAAAATTTTTTATCAATGGAATGTTGTTTTCATAAACATACATCAAAATTATTAGGGGTTTCAATTTTTTTATGGTGTCTAAAACATAGAGGTTTTACCACATCAATTATTATTATTATTATTATTATTTTTTGCGCATCAATAGAATTTGAATTTATAACTCAATACATTAATAATAACAATTTGCATATGTTATTAAAAAGTTACATCGTACAATAAAGGTGTGAAATTACAAAGGTACACCGAATGAAAATCTAACTATAGAATTCCCCATTTCTATGCTTCACTTTCTTTTTTCCGGCCCTTATCCATTTATGTCCGCCGCAACCTCTTATCTCACATGTATAAGATTTGATATTTAGGTAATCGTGAGGACACCATTGATTATATACCAGGGGTCAAGTCAATAGAGCCCAAAAACTTGATGACATACCTTCGAGAAACAAATGAGTCAACGGTGATGCACAAACTCTTACACAAGTCATTTGAGGATGTTAAAAACGTTGACTTTATTCTTTGCAACACAGTGGAAGAGCTTGAACACGATGCCATTTGGGCCGTACGACAGAAGCAGCCCATGTACGGAATCGGCCCACTCATGTCTCCATTTGGGTTCGACAAAAGCCCTGTTTCTACAAGCCTAAGGTCGGAATTTGACTGCAGCCAATGGCTAAATTTGTACGTCTCATGGCTCAGTTTTGTACGTCTCATTGGGCAGTTTGATTCCATCAAACAAAGTTCATTTGGAAGAAATAGGACATGGACTTGTGCTTAGCAAAGTCAACTTCATATGGGTTCTTCGTCCTGACGCCGTTGGATGTGAAGAATCTTATGCTCTACCAATAGGATTTGAGGATCAAATCAAAGACAAGGGTTTGATTGTGCCTTGGTGCAGCCAAGTTGAAGTGATTTCACATCAAGCCGTAGGAGGTTTCTTGACACATTGTGGATGGAATTCTGTTTTGGATAGCATGTGGTGTGGAGTTCCTATGCTTTCATTGCCTTTGATTTTAGATCAGGTTAGTAATAGAAAACTAGTGGTTGATGATTGGCGGATTGGAGTCAATCTTTCTGATGGGAAATCGTTGACCAGAGTAGAAGTAGCGGAGAAGATCAACCGTTTGATGAGTGGAAAATCAGGTGAGGAATTGAAGAGAGAGGCAATGAAGGTGAGGAACATGTTGAAGAATGCCTCTACCAAGGATGGATCATCGGAAACAAATTTGTGCCAGTTTATTACTAACGTCAAAGCTAAAATTTGTGAACGAACTAGATAATAGCAATTAGAATTAGTTTACTCTAATCAATGTACGTTTAGCTTTCATATTCTATGTAATATATTATAAGTGATGTAATTCTATCTGTTCTTTTTTTTTTTCTTTCTCACGTGCTCTTCTGGCTCCAAGAGTCCCGCACGGGTTACAAGTGACCATTGTTGACGGTAGAAATTCGTCAATAGAATTAATTCAAATTTAAAGATGATCAAGGTAATTTGAGTGGTCCAGGAAACATTTTAGAGAAATTAAAAAACAATCAGAACACAAATTTTATAGTGATTCACCTTTTTGTTTAATAGCTACGTTCATTGTGAGGAAGTGAGAAATTCACTATGTTCTGAAGAATGAGATTACAGAAAAAATTATCTTTCTTGACTTGTCCTTTCTACATATATACCCCCCGAAATCTTTGTAAATCTCCTTATTTTATTCCGAGATATTTTCTCACATTTTGGGATAACATCCCCAGTTGGTTGGGATTTCTGCCAATCAGTAGAATTTTCTTACTTACTTCCCACTAACTTCACTTATTTTAATTGCAAATCACAGATCCCGGAACATACTCTGTATCTCTCTCCGTTTACGACTGTCGATGCGGTCACTTCTTATTTTCCTCGATCACTCGGAGCGATCGACCGCCTTTAAACATTTTTTGCTCTACTTGCATTCTGCTCCCAAAAGGACTCTCATCTGATGTGGCAGCTAGGGCAACCTTCGTCCGATGTGGCAGCTAAGGAAAACTTCATCCGATGTGACAGTTAGGGTAAAGCTGTTTTGATCATTAAATGTCATCATTTATAATACATGGGTCTCACCTAATGTTCAGATTAGAATTTAGACTTTTTACCCTACAACAATCATGACAGTGATTTTAATGAAGAAGAAATGGATGTGCGAATGACGGGTACTGGATGATGTAAAGGAAGTGTATTTCGCAGTGTTAGTGGAAGCAACTTCAAAGTAACTCTCTCTTCTCCTCTTATTTTTGTCTTTGTCGTTAGTAATAAGAACTCACTATATATGCCTTTATCTTATTAAAATATATGGCATAATATAAGAGGCCGGCTTATATATTGTAATTCTATAAGAACTCACTACATATGTCTTGATCTTAGTAAAATATACCTAATATACGCCGGCCCATATTCTTTATTTATTTGTTCTACGCTAGCAAACATGTTTATAACTTGGAATCCCAAAGTTCATCTAACTTCGCTTAATTAAGTATCCTTCTCCAAATTCAGTTTTCCAATTAGGTACGGCGCGGCCATGGAAGACAATCATCCAAGGCCACATGCTATAATGTTTTCTCTCGATTACCAAGGCCACGTCACCCCATCTATCCATCTTGCCATGAAACTAGCCTCAAAAGGCTTCACAATCACCTTTGTCAACACACAAATAGTCCATCACCAATTAACCAAATCACAACCCGATTGCACCAACACCGACGACTACGACATCTTCGCCGGAGCGCGTGAGCTTGGCCTCGACATTCGCTACAAGACGATGAGTGACGGGCTTTCGTTGGATTTCAACAAAATACTGAATCATGACGAGTTCCTCAAGAGTAACTTGTATGTCTTGCCATCCCTTGCGGATGAACTTATCGGAAATCTAGTGAAAGAAGATCCCTCTATTTCTTGTTTGATTGCCGATACTTTTCAACCATGGGCGTTGCGATTAGCCAAGAAATACAATCTTATTAGTGTTTCTTTTTGGACTCAGCCGGCAATAGTCTTCACTCTTGACTACCACTTAGACCTCCTCAAAATAAATGGTCACTATTTATCTCTCAATGGTATGTTTTTATTCTTCCAACTCATATTTTTGTGATTTTCATACTGTAGAGAATTGTTATGTTGTGGAGTTTAATTATTGTAAATAACTTACCATGTGAATCGATTTAAAACAAAAAAAAAAAAAGCTACAAAATCTAGTGTTTTTGTTTTTGTTTTTTCTCCTGATATATCTTTGGCATGGCTTTTAACTTGAAAGTTAATGAGATGGGAAAATATAAATAGTAATTGCAATTTCAAGTTTTATTCGCCTTAAAATGCAAACCAATTTAAATGGCGAAAAATGGTATAAAATTTCTATTCGGAAATAGATGTCAATAATATATTGTTGTTTTCACCGGTTGACTGAAGCATACTAACTGTATCACATCAATTATTACTTCTTTTTTCGTGTTCATAAAATTTGAATCCTGGACTCAATACATTAAACACAACTTACATACCCATTAAACTATCAAAAACTCACGTACCCACTTGACACTTAAGCTAGTATTTATAAAACGTTACATCGTACAATAAAAATATGAAATTACATAGGTACACCAAATTAAAATATTTTATAGAATTCCCTATTTATAGGAGTTTCTCTGCCGGTAGTCTCAAATTTTAACCGTTACATTTGGTCTAAATCACATCAGATTAAAAAAGTATGTTACACAAACAGATTCTGAAACAAATCTGACGGTAAAAAAATAAATAAACACCGATAATTTATTTTTTTTAGAGACTACTAGAGAAACTTCATTTTTGTGTTTCACTTCTTTTTCCCCTTGATCACCACAACCTGTTGTCTCACTTGCAAAAGGATTGATATTTAGGTAATCGTGAGGACACCATTGATTACATACCAGGGGTTAAGTCAATAGAACCGAAAGACTTGATGCCATATCTTCGAGAAACGAAGGGGTCAACTGTGACACACGGGCATCTACTCTTATACAAGTCATTCGAGGATGTTAAAAACGTTGACTTTATTCTTTGCAACACATTGGAAGAGCTTGAATACGATGCCATTTGGGCCATACGGCAGAAGCAGCCCATGTACGCAATCGGCCCAATAATATCTCCATTTGGGTTCACCAAAAGCCCTGTTTCCACAAGCCTGAGGACCGAATTTGACTGCAGCCAATGGCTCAGTTCAAAACCTCATGGCTCGGTTTTGTATGTATCATTGGGTAGTTTGTATCCATCAAACAAAGATGATTTGGAAGAAATAGCACATGGACTTGTGCTTAGCAAAGCGAACTTCATATTGGTTCTTCGTCCCGACGCCGTTGGATGTGAAGAATCTTATGCTCTACCAATAGGATTTGAGGATCAAATCAAAGACAAGGGTTTGATTGTGCCTTGGTGCCGCCAAGTTGAAGTGATTTCACATCAAGCCGTAGGAGGTTTCTTGACACATTGCGGATGGAATTCTGTTTTGGATAGCATGTGGTGTGGAGTTCCTATGCTTTGTTTCCCTTTGTTGATTGATCAGGTTACTAATAGAAAACTGGTGGTTGATGATTGGCGGATTGGAGTCAATCTTTGTGATGGGAAATCGTTGACCAGAGTAGAAGTAGCGGAGAAGATCAACCGTTTGATGAGTGGAAAATCAGGTGAGGAATTGAAGAGAGAGGTAATGAAGGTGAGGAACATGTTGAAGAATGCCTCTACCAAGGATGGATCATCGGAAACAAATTTGTGCCAGTTTATCACTAATGTCAAAGCTAAAATTTGTGAACGAACTAGATAATAGCAATTAGAATTAGTCTACCTCTAATCAATGTACGTTTAGCTTTCATATTCTATGTAATATATATTATAAATGATGTAACTCTATCTGCTCTCTCTCTCTCGTCATGTTCTCTTTTTGCTCCAAAGTCCCGCATCGGTTATTCAAAGAAAAGTGAGCACTTGCCTGACTTATATAAATAGGCATATTCTTCAAGTTTAATTAACATTTAATAGTTCATAAAATCATATATACATCTTCCTCTTGTGTAATTGATTAGATTTAATGAAAATAGCATCATTATAGTGTAAATTGAATGTTGTGGGTATGAAGTGGTTCAAGTCCTGGAGCTTCAAAGCAGCTACAATATTTAATAGTAGGGCGTTCCAGTTGGACACTAATCATAACCCATATTTCTACTGCAATATGATCAATAACCCATGTTTCTGTGTAACATAATCATTCCCCACTCAGACCAAATGGCTCCTTTAATTTTTTGAGTCCCTATTTTTTTTTTTTTAAATATTTTTGCCTCATAAAATTTTACAACTATAGAAAAAATTTTTATTTTTTTTTTTTTTTTTTTTTTTTTTTTTTTTTTTTTTTTTTTTCATAACTTTTTAAATCTTTAGATTATACCTTAAATTTTGACTCTTAATGTCTTAATAACTCAAACTTAAAATTCCTTTAAAAGTAAAAGTTAAATACATTACTATATTCATTCATGATTTGGTACACCTTAAACATTATAAAATGAATTAAACTCGATTAGAAATTGAACTCACGCCAACCCCTAACCCGGATTTTTTTTGGCTACGCTAATGATTCTCAAGGCTTGATTTGTGTCTGCTTTTGTTTGTGCGGAACTTGAAATGGCATTGATGGCATGTTTACTTATAAGGATTGAGGAATGAGAATGAGGATGTGAGTAAATCCCATGTTTACTTGTTCTTTTTTATCCTGAAATGAAAGTGAGATTAGTGGGAATCACTCAAATTAGGATTGAGGAATGGGATTAACACTCCCATACCCCTCTTAGGATTAGGACTCCTATTCCTGATATTAACGTTAAATTGCTATTATACCCCTATTTTACTTATAAATATAAAATTAAAAATAAAATTTAAGAAATAATAATTACAACTTGCATTTATTATTTTATTTACCTAATATTATAATATATGCCTAATTATTGTTAACTTCTATATAATAAATATGTACTTTATTTTGTTCGAGAAATTAATAATATATTTTAATTTTACGACAATATTTTTTATTTTTATTTATTTTATTTAAAATTTGACATTTTATTTTTATAATTTAAATAATTTTACAATTTATATTTATTATTATAGTACCCTATTATAATACTAAATATTTTAATTATGATTAATTTTAATATAATAAGTACACAATTTATTTTTTAAATTAAAAATATAAAATTGGCTTAAAAGGTATATTAGTATTTTTACACTAGTTCTGTGACGATCATCCTATGAGGCCGCCACTGTAACTTAAACTTTAACTTGTACTTACTGGGGTTTCTTAAAATTTGCGGAACATTTTTTTTTTTTTTAATATAAGAAAGAATACTTTCATAATTTGTAACAATAATTTCAAATAAGTGAATCACTAAATTTCTTAAAGCTTTTCTTAATTTCAGTTAAGATAAAACGTTCTAAAAATATCTTTCAAACAGAGCAGCATTTGAACTCTTATTTCAAATGCTCTTTAAAAGCCTTTCTAAAACTAGCCAATTCAATCGGGCCATTTAATTTTGACTTTAAAACGGATTTCGTGAGAAATCTTAAATTCAAGTACATCTTAAAGCCCTTTTAAAATCAATCATTTAAATCGTCATGTTTAAAATTTATTTATTTGTTGCATGCTCTGTTGCAACGTTCTAAAACTTAAATACTCAAAAACGAGGGTTGTTAGCTACAACCTCGGTTTCCTTAACATACATATGTACCTATACTTTTTAAACATACATGCTTGAAACCTTTAAATCATATATACATATACATGATTTTTCTTAAACTTACTGCGGAAGATAACTGCG